CCGTATTCTGATCTCCCTCCTGCAACCATTGAATTCGGCTTCTCTGTCTCCAAAACATCTCTTCATCCTGGTAGGCTGCGGATAGCTGCACAGTTATAGGCGTGGATTGATTCGGCAATGTCCCATATACAGTACTGATTCTTTAATTTAATGGTCAAACCTATCATTCTATATATCAATATCCAAAATAGGTAATAAAAAAATGCAACCCATCATCAAAAATTTCCTATTTTAGAAATTGTAAGGAAAATAATTTTTATTTTTTAATTAGAGATGAAGAACAACTTGCCCATACCATTCAAAGGAACATTTCTTTTATACATTGCACTAGTTATAAAAGGGAACATATATATATATAATTTACTTGATTTAGTAATGATTCGTATATCAACTAAATAGTAAAAAGTATGCATGCGAAGTAGTGAGAATAATATTAATAAGCAATATGAATATTTTAACAAAAAAAAAGGAATATGAAATAAATTAATTGAGATTATTTGATCAACCACAATGAGTTAACAACCCACTTTATCTTTAGCTTTTTTATCTTTAGCCATATATTATTTCGGTTTGAAACTATCTATTAATAATATTTAATATGGTTCTATAAATCATAAACTATTACATTCAAACTTAAAAAAAATTTGTATATATATTCGAATATGCAGAGTGAAATCATTGTCTCATATATACTGATTGAAAGAAGCACTTCTAAATCTTATCTGCATTTGATTGATCGTTTTAATTGAACTCACATAAAAAGTACATCATTTTATTTTATACAAACAAACCCTAGATGATTCGACAATGTTAAGTTATATTGTGGAAACTCTTAGACCCACCAATGAAATGAGATATATAATTATGTGAATGAACCGACAAGAATATTGTTTTAGTGACCCGAAAATGGTTCATTTAAAGGAATATATTCCCATTTCCCGTGATGGAGAATTCAAAGTTGACTATATTTAGCCCATGCAAAAAGAAAAGAGATCATTTTAGCAATCAATATGCATATATTCCTTCTAAAGGGTTATAAAAAGAGAGCACATCCATGTGAGGAATAAGGGAAAACATATTGAGAGTAATGAAGTGTATAATGAGGAAGAGAGGTCTAACATGGCGAAAAGAGTAATGTTTAATAGCCAAGGATGACTTGCCTGATCTTTTTCACCTCCATGATTCAATTTGAATTATTATACGTTTAAAAGGTATAATAATTCGAAATCATGTTGAATCATGCGGGTTAGGTTTCAGGCAGTCTCCTTGGCTATCTTGACATGCTTTTTTGATCCATGTTATACCTGTTTTTCTTTCTGTCTCTAGAGTCACTATTAAGTCATCTCTTCGTAAAACAAAACAAAACTCAATCTTTATTAGGGTGTCTCAAATGTTGAAAATGTCAATTTTTCGCGTTTGGTTTCGAATGCATTTTTAATAGTGTTTTGGTGAGTGATTATTTAGAAGGAGATGTCAAAGATGAGTAGGAGAATCATATTTGGTAGCCAAGGATGACTTGCCTGATTCCTTTGAGTAAAATGGTTAGTGTCATGTTTGAAAGTGACTATCAGTTACATCAAGCAATGACCATTTTGCTTATAAAAAGATGTCAGGCAGTCTCCTTGGCTATCCTTATATGTTCTTCTCTTTCATCTCAGACATTCACCTTCATCCAAAATAAGAGAGGCACGACATGAATGATCATCGAAAGACAATGTTGATGACTTTGAGCTTTTTGCATGTCTATATATATCTAATGTAATACATTAATTATACGTATACGGAAGCTGTTTAAGACAAATATGTTCTAAACTCATACACGACGACATAGAGATAGCAAGCTAGATAGATATTTTGAAGTTGTTATACAAGGAAGAAGAATATCTTGAACGTCCTCATCTTTTTTGTTCAACGCTCCACCTTCTATTTAAACACATATTGAGATCACTTTTAAAACGGAGATAATTAAATTTCCAATCATGTTTTTTTTTGTTGTTGTTTGAAACATTTCAGATTTGCAGACTTTTATTGATATCCAAAAAATTTGCTCTCCTAATCATATTTTTACTCACAGACTAGTCTACACTTTTTTTGTTATTTACGAATTAATTTGTGTCTCTCTTTGTTTGACTTTGACGCAGAGCGAATAAAACGGCGTGTCGTGAATTAGTATTTTACTTACATAGCTTCCTGTCTCAGGCCTGAACTAGTGAGTGAGCATCGGAGTATCGGAGAAAATGGAGGTGGGAATGAGGAAGCTCTCTTATACATTCGCTCTGATATTCATGACGTTGATCTCCACTTCAATCGCGACCTCTGAGGTCCCTTTCATGGTTCTCCACAAGAACGCTTCTCTCTAAAGTGTCAAACCAGGATCCCAACGCGTCTCCTGTCACCATCAATATATATCTACAATCAAGGATCCTCGTAAGCCTCACTTCAATCGAGAATCTCTTTCTTAGATCTTTGATTCTTTAATTTTCTTGATGTATGATATTGTTTACAGAAAATAAAAGGTGTTGTTCTTGGTCTCTTCTGTTGGTTGATAATTGAGTTTTCGGTTAACGGTTATAAGTTTGTGTTGTTTCACTCAAAAGTCACAAGTAGGAAGAGACACAACTCTTCATGTGTTGTGTCTTTTTTTTTTTTTATTTAAACTCATTGTATCGTCATGTAAATAACAACAAGTTTCAAATTAAATAAAAGTTTCTATTTCGTTCCTGTCTTCTTGAAAAGAGAAGAGATATGATTTCTTACTCTGTTTCTTCATCCTCTCTAATAATCCAACATCTTCTTGTTCAAGTCTATGATAATGTGTTTCTTTTTCTAGTTCATATCACAAGTTTGTATCAAAAACGTTTCTGGTTGAATATTTTACAGGTTATGATGTAAATTTGGCAGATGATAATTGGAATTCAAATCTATTATTTGACATTATATTGTTAGTGGCAACATTTCAGTCATGGGTTTCGCAGACGCAGTTTCGCTCTCTCACTCCTGTGGCCACCTGGGAATTTACCTGCGGACTTGCTCAGGCGCCCCAGACCACCAGTTTATCAGGGGGCCCTTAAGTGGAGGCTTAAAAATCCCTGTGACGCGGGCTTAGGCCCAGTGGGCTAGTCAGATCACTGTGTGGTCTGGATACTGGGTTATCAAAAAAAATTTCAGTCATGGGAAAAACTTGACGTGTGTTGGGCTCTCCAAGCACAAAACTCAATTCCGATTAGTACAATTTTGTCTCGGCCAAGTGGCTAAGCCCGTACAGATTTGTTTTTGGGTTACTTCCCAAAAAACTTCATACTAATTGGAATTAGATTTGACTTATATATCAGACTATTATTTTCTAGTTTTCTAATGTAGGACGTTAGTTTGTCTTCCAACAAAGTGTAAGACTTTCTCTGATTTTTGCCATTCTCCTTCCTCTGTTTGTTTTAGTTTTTGGTTTTGTGTGTGGCGGTGAAATTGTGTCACATTCATTTGAGTTGCAAACAAAGAAAACAGGTCTTTTCTATATATATTTGACCAGCTGTTGTTACTTTCGGTGTTCCATCTAAGCCCTTAGATTCTAAGGGTCTTCTTCACGTTTCTGTGCTGTCTGGTTTCTCTAGTTTATGAATCAAAGGATTATCTATTATTAAGATTGTTTCTTCTAAATTTTCTGACTCGGCCTTAGGCGTATTCAACTCCAATATTGCCTCTAGATGTGCTTGCAGAAAGTATTCCAGTAAAGAACCTTGAATGGGTAATACATTTTTTGCGTAAAACTTAACTGAACGATTACACGACATTCTTGGCTCGTTACTAATCGGACTGTTCTACATTTTCAGGAAGTTCTTCTTAAGACGCAACAAAAACTCAGACGAAGGTATGTCAAATTCTGAATAGTGGAAATTTGGTGAATATTACATCAAAAGTGTATGATACACACAAGATATGTGGCAGTTAATTTAACATCCAACGTATGATGCATGACCCTACGCTTACAATTTTAAAATCATATTAGAGCATATTGATGTTATCTTATGATTGTGATTTTGGATGCAGAGATTGGTGGGTAGATTTGGGGACCTCAAGTCTCAGTGATCAATTATTGTCACGTTTGTTTATTTTGATCGCAACTCCATTAAAGGAAAGCAAAAAGAAGCGTAGAGAACTAATCAGTGTTTTCACGTCCGACCCAAACAGTCTGATCCGAGCGGTTAATCCGCGACCCGGGCACTTCTCCGGTTTGACTTTAGTGCTAATATCCAGCAATTTCAAAACCGGAAAAACCCATAAAAACCCGCCATTAACCAGCAACCCAATATACCGGTTGAACCGGCCGGGCCTGAAATTAAAAAATTCATTTGATTTTTGGTCTTTTGAAATAAAATATAAAATTTTAGGCTTTAGTGTATTCACTATTCAATTATTTTTAGAACTTTTTTAGTTCTTCGGTTCTTACAAATGGTTTTATTTGGATTTAAAAAAATTAATACTCCATTATTATTGTTAGATTTCATATTTTGTTAAACATGGAATGATTATTTTTATATTTATAACATTAAATACATTAAATAAATCTGAATCAATTGACCCGTGGTCGAACCCGGTTGACTCAGTGACCCGGTGATTCAGAAGGCAGTCCGGTTCACCGTCCGGATCGGGCTTAGAAAATTGCCGTTTTCACTCATTTGCACGCCGGGAAAATGGCAATTTAGTAAATTAAACGAGAAATCCAAAATTACTATTTAAAACATTGGATTAAGGGACTCAGGATACTTAATACTTGGTCTCAAACTATGATTACTTGATTCAATTTATGTTATGTACAAGTTTTTTTTCTTTATCTTGTATATTCCTTAGCAAGGTGAAAGTAAAAGGTAAAACCTAATCTAAAAACAAGCTTATAAGAAAAAACAAAAAAAAAAAAAAAAACAAACGTAGCCCTTGTAATAACTAAGAAACAATAAATCAACGGAGGAAAGTCAAAAACAAAAACAGAATGGCTTTCACACAAGAATCAGTTCTTGTCTTAATTTAAAGAAAAGAAAAAACACAAGTACACCTAATTGGGAAAGGACACACTAAACCAATCAGAATCTCAGAAACTAGAAGCATTGAACCAGTTCCATGTTTTGGTCTGAAAAGGACTTAGAGAATCCACACAAATGGCGGCGCATCCATTCTTGTCCCAACCACAGTCCGGTACAGATACAACTTATCAACTTTCTGTCTTCCTTCGTGTCCGTTTTCCTCCATCCGGTTATTATCATTCTCGTTTATGATCTCAACATTGAGCCATGGCGCTTTCTGTGCGAGCTTTTTGCATCCGCTGAGTGTGACTTCACATGACGACATCCAAAGGGATCGCATTGTCTCGTACTTGCTCACATCAGCAAGAAGCGCCGTGTCGCCAAACGGACTATCCCGAATCTCCAGCTTTTTCATCTTTTTGCAACCATTCAACACATAAAGCATGCCTTTGTCTGTATCCCCTGCGAAAGCTATTGAGAGCATCTCGAGCTGATTCGCGTACATCCCGATGTAGAGGAAGACTTGGTCTGTGAGGAGACCTGAGAGGGAAAGCCGCCTCAGGCTCTTGCAGGCTTTGACGATTGCTCCAAACCCTTCGTCTAGAGGTTGAGATGTGACGTGATCGGGCTTGTTTGGCTCGAGGATGCAGAGCCTGAACCGGATGAAATTTGGACAGTTCTTGGCAACGGTTACGAGAGCTGCGTTTGTCATCTGCTGGCAGAAGTAGAGTATCGAGTGAAGCTTAGGGCAGCCTGCGGAGATGGCAACTAGACCTTCTTCGGTCACAGCTGTGTTGCCTCCACCGAGTAAATCAGATGGAAAGACCCTAAGCTCTTGTAACTCTTTGCATGTAGAAGCTACAACTTCAAGCCCTTTGTCACCTATACTATCCAATATCTGCAATAAAACATCGAAACAGTTACATATAAATATATCTAATATATCCATATATCTCTCTTAAAGGATATAGTAGCTTACCCACAACCGCTGAAGTTTCTTGCAATGCTGAATAAGCTTAATAAGGTGGCTACCATGAATCTCAGCTGCGTAACTAAGATTCAAGGAGGTGAGGTTATGACATATTGGGTGGAAAGCTGAGAGACAGTGAGGCGCAGCTTCTAGAAAACCCGACAAACTCCTTAACGAGGTGCATTTCTTTACGGCAGCCTTGAGTTTCATGTAAGACTCTGAATCTGGGTCATTCTCATACGACCCTACTCCTAAATCAACTATCTGCGGCGCACACACCATTAACCTTGCAAGTGCATCTAACGGCACTGCACGGTTTAGCTTCAGACTCTTTAGGTTTGGAGACCTTGCAACAAGCCTCTCTAGAGCCACCAGATTAGTTTCTCCTTCGAGACACGCAAAGTTTAGTGTGACAAGGGTCGTACAAGTGTCGGGGAAACAACTTAACCATTGACCTCTATGATCATCGATTTCATTTTCTTGCAAGTCAAGATCCCGAAGATGCCTACAAAGAAGACAGAATTCGTAAAACAGAGTTACAGAACTAATACAAATACACTTAAAACACGAAGCAAACACTACTACACATTTGTAAGTCACAACCAAGAGGAACCATTGCAAGAACTAAACTGATTATTCCACCTATTCTAACCGTAAAAATCGGATATTATTGTTCGATCAAAAGCTCGAAACCACAATGAAACAAAGCATCTAATACTCAAGCTTAAGTCAGAGATATCAAAGCTAATATTGCAAAACAAACTAATACCTGCAATTAGCGGCAATAGAGGCAAGACCATCAGTAGTAAAACCTTCACAGCTAACAAGCACCAAAGACTTAAAATTCACAAAAGAACGAGAAAGCAGCTCAAGACTCTCATCAGTAACAACCATCCTCTTCAACCTAAGCTCCTCAAGTCCTACACGACTTCTAGCTAAAGCCTCAATCCAAGGTAGCACAAAACCTCCCCATTCATGAGGAACCAAATTGAAATCCGCAAAATGAGGTTTTCCTTTCAAAGTCAAAGACTTTAAACATGGGAATCTCCGAAGCAACCTCTCTGGATTAATGGCATAACAGTTTCCAATGAAAACCTTTTGTCTACTATATCTTTCAATCTTGTACCATGATTTGCATACAAGAGATATAGCATTCCTGTCTTTGTGAGATGTTACGAAGTCGAATACGTGCTCTATTACTTCATCAGGGAAATAATTCATCTCTAACTTCAGTAGCAAGATTCAATTCACCAGATCTTGAACTTGAGTTTGACTTAGACCATAGGAGCTCAAGAACACAGAGATGACTTAAAGAAGTGAATTCAACAGATCTATAGATCTAGAGAGTAAAAACAAAAACTAGATCTATCAAGAACAAGATTCAAGAAGAAAGAACTCGAATCAATATAAGAAAAAAATAAACAAATTCTCAAGAACTGTGATGATTATTACAAAAGAAGAAGAAGAAGAAAACGTTGACAATGATCAAAGAGAATCAAATAATAGATCTGTAGAAGAAGAATCAGAAACCATAAATAGAAACTTTGTTTAGTTTCTTGATTCAAAAAAGAAAAAAAAATCAAGAAGCTAATGATGATGAGAATGATGATTTTCAGAAGATTGATGAGAGAGATCACGTAACCAAAGCAAAGCAAAAGACCAGAAAGAAGAAGAACAAAACTCTCTCTCTCTCTTTCTTCTGTCTTCTTGGTGACTTTGGTAATGGAGAGAAAATAAAAAGTCTTGAAGGACATCACAGAGGCCCCTACCTGGCTGACCGAAACAAACCGTGGTTAAAGATTAAACCGTGGTTAGGTTTAGAGATGATCTAACGGTGGAGATTAGTTTGAAGAAGAAGAAGAGGAGATGGATCTTGACCGTTGATGGGAAATGGCATGCATGTGTCATAATCACTGGTTACGAGGCCATTCGCCAAAGAGAAAAAAAAAAGAGAAGGTGATGTTGTAGTGTCAGACTTGAGAGAGCTTTTGTAATTGCCCTTGGTTTTTGGGTTTAATTACGGAGATATGCCATTATTGTTGTCTGGGCGAGTAAGAGAGATTTCTCTACTCGCAGAAAAAAGTCATTATAAGATAAGTAGTAGTTAGTTAATAATTATCAATTATTCAACGAATTTATGTGATTAAAGATTGATTAGTGATTATTTAAAGACTATGTAACTAAATTAACCATTCACTTTTTCTCTATTGATAGTTTTTTTTTCAACCACACTTATTTGCTTTTAAAAAATTAATGGATAGTTTGATCCACAAAAACAAAGTTAACAGAAATAACATTAGCATACATAATCTTAGATATGCTTAATTAACGTTGTGAAACATATCTTAGAGCAAACTATATGATTATTAAAGATTGATTAGTGATTATTAAAAGACTATTTAACTAAATTAACTATTCACTTTATTTAACCTATTGATAGTTTTTTTTTAACCACACTTATTTGCTTTTAAAAAAATTGATGGATAGTTTGATATTCAACGAATTTATGTGATTAAAGATTGATTAGTGATTATTTAAAGACTATGTAACTAAATTAACTATTCACTTTATTTAACCTATTGATAGTTTTTTTTAACCACATTTATTTGCTTTTAAAAAAATTGATGGATAGTTTGATGCACAAAAACAAAGTTAACAGAAATAACATTAGCATACATAATCTTAGATATGCTTAATTAACGTTGTGAAACATATCTTAGAGCAAACTATATTCTACATATCTAAAAGTTGGACAAAGCATGAATAAGTTCTACGAATCCCATCTAAACATACTATCAATCGATTTTTTACACAAAGATGTTCATTATATTCATGTCAATGTTTTTATTTCCGAATAAAGCGAGGATAAATTTTATTTTTGATATTTAGTATCTTAAAATACTATTTGATCATCTATATTTTCGTGTATATATTTGCAATGAAGATGTTCACATCTAAAAAATTGGACAAAACGTGAATAAGTTCTACACATTCCATCTAAACATACTGTCAATCGATTTTTTACACAAAGATGTTCATTATATTCATATCTATGTTTTATTTCTGGATAAAGCAAGGATAAATTTCATTTTTGATATTTAGTATTTTAAAATACTATTTGTTCATCTATATATCCGTGTATATATTTGAAATGAAATATATATATATATACATTTTGGCTTAAAATGAGATAGGATTTAAGCTCTTCAATAAACCACCTATTTGACACTTCTTATTAAGTTATTATTAATAGTTTGTTTTTTAAGCTTTTAATTTCAGAGACGAGATAGTTAATTACACAAATCACAGTTTGAGTTTTTTTATTTATTAATTTTTAGGTGTTAAAGGTGGAAAAAGAAGAAAAGCAAGGCTGGCTGAATTTGTCTGGTTATGAGGACATACACCATCCGTGGACATACGTAGTCAGTAGGTGATGACATTAGCAAATTTAGTATTAAATTCCTTTTTTTTCATACCAAATAAATCCAAACGCCACTCAAATAATTTTTTGTTATAAAAAACAAAAATAATTAATTTAGGTATAAAAATGGTGGCAACAATTGAAATGAATATGCTAGCTAGGTAATTGTGAAAAAAAAAACAGTGTACACATGGTTGAAACTTGAAACGGTCGGCTGAAATATTAAATGATCCATGAAGAAAATGTGAAGGAATCTACGACAATTGTTGTTAATTTTGTCCGATTAAGAAAGCAAACGAAACATTTTTTTTACTATGGAGAAATATAGATGAAACAAATATTCAAGACAATCATATTTACATATACAAATTATTCATTATTCACACCAATGCTTACAAAAATATTTAAAAAAACTTTGGAGCTGTTAACCATATTTTCTCAATGGTGACAAAAGAAGATGAACACACTAAACACATCAACCATCCTTGGCCAATAAAACTTTAAAGTGAAAATACAAAAGAATATATATATATATATATATATATATATATATATATATATATATTTATTTATTTATATATGTGTGTGTAAAAAATAATGAAAAAAAAAAGATGGGTGTAGCCTTCATAATCAAACTCAATTATAGACCCACTTGCATATAATTACAAAAGGGGACACACAAAACAAAAGTATTATTATTGGTTGAAAGAGAAGACTCACTTCCTTGCCTCTTACCACCAAACTTTTGTTTAGTTGTTTTTAGAGAAAATATTTGATATAAGACTAATTAATTAGCTAACAATAATCAAATTAGAATGAATTAGCTAGCAATTGAAGTGTATAATACATCAATGGGATAGAAACATTAAGAAAATACATATTATTGCCTATTCTTCTATGTATGCATAATATTATATTATCCTACAAATGACTTACATCGTTTGTTAGATGGATCTTTGCAATCATTCCTTACATTCATAAATATAGAAATCTAGTTTACAAATCTACAAACCATCTTAAGTATTTAGAGAAATCAAATTTCTATTTGTGAACAAAATAAAATAATTAATACCACTAGTGGATCAGAAAGATAATAATAATTAGTAAATTTATGTTAATACGAAAGATAAAATCGTTCGGTGAATGTTGAAGATCTAATTGGGCAATTAATTCATGTCTAATTTTGTCAAGACATGTTTTGTTTAATTTAAACTCTTTAGTCTTTAAGATATGTTAATGTAAGAATGTATGGATATAAATGGGAAGATTGGTGGATTGGCATTGTTGTTTTTGTGGATAGGTCCACTCATCTCTTGTATCTCATCATATTCTAAAAATGGCTGCCATGTGAAGACCACCACTTAATTTCTCTCTCTTTCCCCTTTATATAATCCTATGTCAAATTTTCATTATTACCCTAAATTAAGCATAATTGCAGTTTTTGTTTTCGTAAATCATTACCTAGCCGTAATTTGCTGGTTTCACTCTATTGATATTGAAATCTCAAGTCATCAGTAGATGTATAAACACATTTTGATAGGTCGAATCTCTTAGAAGGCTATACTTTATATGCAGAAATACTAAATGTTGAATACAAAAGATATTAGACAAATGAATTTCAAAAACAAAACTCATCTATATAACTTTTCCAACCAAACTAATTTAAGCCAAATAACTTGATGCATTTGTTAGTTACTACCAAATATACACAAAGGTTTTGATTGATAATGTTTTTTTTTTTTTTTTTGTCAACCACACATTAAATATTAAAAAATTCCTTGATTGGTTGCCCAATTAGGAGGAGAAATGCTTACAAAAGTAACTTCTGAAAATAAAAGACGAGAAGAACGAGCTAAGCAGTCCGCCTTAACATTACATAAACGAGAGATGAGGGAAAGCGAGAATGAAGGAAAGGAGGCACGGAGCAGTCCAAAATCGTCTAGCTGATTGGAGAAGGTTGGCCATTCTTCAGGTGATTGTACCATCGAGACTAACTCTGAACAATCTGTTTCAAACGCCTGACAATCGATCCTTCTTGAAAGGATGTTTTCCATTGCCCAAATTAATGCCTCCATCTCCGAGTGAAGGGGGGAGGGGCACCTCCGGAGGCACTTTGCACCTAGCAATATCGTTTGATCATTTTCTTGAAAACACCACCATCCTATACCCATAGTTGGATCTGAAGACTTCCAAGAACCATCGATCCGGCATCTTAAATATTGGATTGGGCTTTCGAAAATTTCCGTAATTATTGTAGTTTCGATGGGTTCCAACTGAGCATCTTCCCACATTGATTTCTCACTCAAAGCGTGATTTAAGATATCTAAAGGTTCAGATTGTATACCTTTAAAAACCTTTTTATTCCTATCTTTCCATATAAACCACAAAATCCAAGCAAAACAGTTAGATCTTTCTCCCCCATTTGGAGGATGTGGTAACCTCCAATAAAGATAATCCAGATTTAAAAATTCTGAGCTTAGAGGAAAAATACTTGAACCCATAGGTATTGTGGATAATTCCCATATTTTTTTTGAATGAAGACATTCAAATAAAGCATGATTTATCGTTTCCTCTGCCACTTCACACCTTTTACAGATAATATCACAACGAATCCCTCGATGTGCTAATTTTGAGGTAACTGCCAAGGATCCCGAAGCAATTTGCCATAAGAAATGTCTTATTTTTGGAGGGGCTTTGATTTTCCAAGCTTGTGCTTGTAATTTTCTAAAATTTGGGCCCCATTCGACCGTTTCTATCAACCCTCGAGCAAGTCGATATCCTGACTTTACAGTATATTTTCCGGATTTTGTATAATGCCAAATAAGCCTATCTGGTTTATAAACTTGACTAATAGTTAGTCCCCTAATAATTTGAATATC